GGCTTTCTGCTGTAAATGCCTGGAGGAGTTAGCTGAAAAGCAGAGATTCTCATCAAAAGGGATGTATGTGGATATGGAGGTGGATGAAAATGACCAGAGGGGCAGTGTTCCCCTGGGGAGCATTCATTTACATGTAGGGTGGAGTCCCTGAAACAGGTCTCTGGTGTTCCCTCCTCCTCGCTCTCTCAGAATATTTCCCTAATAAAGGCTGGAGGGTATGGACCCGAAACAAGACAAGAAAAGACTCCTGAAAATATAGACTAGTGGACAAGCACAAATGTGTGTGTGTAACTATATCAATATCCAAGCAAGATAGAAAGCAAGTTCTCAAAGAGTGACAGGGTGTTTAATAAGAGGAGAGTACATGAGAGGAAATGAATAATTGCCATTATTTTCCCCACGTTAACAATCAACAGGCTTTGAAGTCCAAGGAGATTTGTAGGAGGAAGAGTACCATTCAAGGGTGAGCCCAAAGCTCACACACTCAGAAGTCACCTGTAACGAGGGATAGCCTCATGGGGGTATTGTGAGAGTCTAACAAAATGATACATGAATCAGTGCTTTACAAACAGTGAAGTGCCTTTAAATTGCAAGGTGCTATATAAACTGTAAAATGCCATACAAATGTAAGGGATAATTATTATGATTATTTGAGGAGGAAAACATTATTCTGAATGTAGTCTGGGACTTGAGAATTAGACAGTAACAAGGTTATTTTTAACAAACAACAGAATTTGCCTGTTGACATGCATCTTCTCTCTTTCAAAATCAATAAACATTCATTTCAAAGAGAAACTATTCAAAACATATGAGACTCCTTTTCTGAGATTAATTTCCTTCAGAACCAGTTTATAAAACACATGAAATTATCTCATTTACAGTCACATTGTGTTTTGAACCTTACATATTATCTAGCTTCATCTTTAGGGTTGACTCCAAAAGAATTTTAAGTGGTTTTTAAAAAAAAATCTAAATTCACTCCCTAAAGCACTGATTCTTAATCTTTTTTGTTGTTGTTGAGGACCTGCCAAAATGCACAATACACAGAGCAGTTTGCATGGGAATTCCTAGATTCCCAGGTAAAAAACTCCTGATCTTCCAAGAGTTACAAAAATTCAAATTTGAGGGCTACAGATCTGAGGCCAATTATTTTCTGAGCATAAGCAGCAGGCTTGTTGGAATAAATGTTTAGCTTCCCAAAGGAATTGTTTGAAGGAAACCTCACCACTGTAGGAATGATCATATGGTATGAGAGTTTAAAAATTGGTTCATTAGAGTTACATGGGGTTTGTGTTGTCATTTCTATAGCTGCAGTGGTTTTTGCTGTGTGGGTGTGTTCACTGCTAGTGGCATGCTTAGGTAGCAGCATTTGCCTCCCCAGGTATCTACCCTCAACTCAATTTAACCAACTCAACCTAAAAAGAGTCATAGTCCTAGGAAAAGGCATCAGTTGGGCTGAAATCGCCCTAGAGGCCCACCTGGTTACAGGAGATGAAGAAACGTATGATTAGCATTTGTTTAGTTGCTCCTGGAGGAGTCCTGGCCAAGAAGGGTTTGTGGCTTCCACTGGTTCTCTTTATGAGACAAAGAAAATTTCTTGTGATCCTCTCATATGCCAATCACTGTTAGGAACAGACTTTAGATGAATTAGCTCATTTAATTCTTAAAACAACCTCCTCAAAAAGGTCGTATTGTTCTCATTTTATAGATGAGAAAATTGAGATACAGAAAAGCTAAACAACTTATAATCCAAGTCAATAAGCTAATAATTAACAAAGCAAAAATTTAAATGCCGATTTGACTTCAGAGCTCAGGTTCTTTCTGCTGCCCAACTCTCTCTTTCCATTGCTTCCCTAGCCTCTGTCAAATGCTCCCGTAAGCCTCTCCCTCCCTGGAGTGTCCCTGGAAATGAAACCCATTCACTTATCTCATGAAGGACAGTGTCCCAAATGGCCCATCAGACACCTAGGACTGAGACCCATTTGCTTCTATTACTAACTTCCTTCACAACCTCATCAAGCTCCTTAAGTTGGCTGGGGCTTGGTTTTCTCATCTGTAAAATGAGGGGCTAGATGAGACTTCCAGCTGAAAAGTTCAGTAACTGAGTACCGTGAGCTCACACCATTCGTCCCAGCTGGAATGTCTCTCGATCTTGTGGGCTGCTCACAGCTCATCACTAGGGGCCGCCTTCTCTGACCATCCCAGCTAGAAGTATGGTCCACTCCAACACATACTGCTTTTTGTCCATTTTACACTTACTTGTTTCATCTTTTTCATTCTCCTTCCATATCTTATCTGAACTTATCTGAATTCCTCAAATACTTTTTAAAATCCTACACAGTATTCCAACTTATGAATAAACCAGAATTTATGTTTTAATTCCGATGTGAGACGATTGTTTCTATTTTTCAGTGCTGAGACCAATATTCTTTTACTTGCCGCCTTGTGTACATGTGCAAGAGATTGTCTAAAGCGAATGTTTAGAAATGGAATTGCTGAGTCATAGGGTTTGTGCATTGGATGTTGCCAAATTGTTCCCTGAAGTGGTAGTACCAACATGTGTTCCCACTTGCAGTGTGTAAGAGTTCCATTTCCCATATCCTCACCAATACTTATCAAACTTCATTTTTTGTCCAAACTAACATTTTGACTGCATTTATCTAATGGCACTTCCCTCTTTATATTTGTATATGTGCTACCTCCCCTATTGGGTTGTAAACTTTATGAGGGCAGAATCCTTGCTTAACTCACTTTTACATTCTTCCCACAAAATTTACTGAGCTTAGTAAGTGCACAATAAAGAGTTGTGAACATATAAATGATGAGCAGAATTAATTCATCTTGACCAAAGGAGGTGGGAAGTTCCGTGAGGGCAGGGATGAGGCATTCTATCTCTATTAATCTAGAAAGAAGATTTGGGGAGGGAATCCCTATCAGCTGCAGAGATGATTGCACAGTGGTCACAACTCGCCTATTGACCAAGATCTATAGTGGACTGTCACCAACCTTTGAAGATCCCACCTTTAGATCATTTTTTATCACGGTAGTCATCAAATATTTACTGATTGTTGTGAGCGGCAAATTTCCCTGTCTCTGGGGCCATCTTTATTATCTACCAAGAGGGCTGTTTCTGAATGGAACTCCCCCATCTCCCACCTGACCCCATTACTAAAGGCTGGGTAGAATCTATGTGTCCTTTGGACTAGGGTGCTACATGACCTATGGTAAATGCCTCCCCTTTTTGTCACCCCAGCAGTTCCAGGCTGACTCATTTTCTAAATAAGCCACTTGTGGTTTTTGATCTGACATCACATGTGGAAGAATGAGTAATTTTTTAGAATCAGAATTATGTTTGATCAGAATAAGATACATTGTGTATGTTACTCATGGCTCTAGGACAAGGAGTCAACCCTGGTAACGAGTACTCTAACCTTCTCCCATCCCTCCTTTTGCTTGGGCCAAGGGATAGAGAAAAAGAGAAGGAAGGAGGTAAATAGAGGTGTGAAGCATTTTTGTGTACATCTCTTATGTTGTTATCACATTATGTACAATTTAATAAAATTATATCTTGTTGACTCTGCTAGACTAAATAAAAGTACTATAGCAAAGTAGTTAAGGCCTTGAGTTCTGCTGCAACACTGATTGTGTTCAAATCCCAGCTCGACTGCATGCCAGTGGGTGACTCTGAGAAAGTTACTGAATCTTGATGTGCTTCTACTTCCTCATTTGTAAAATAATAATAGTGCCTATAATATAGGGTTGTAAGGAACAAATGAATTAATATATGTTAAGTGCTTTGAATTGTCCGGGGAACTTAGTAAGCACTATGGAAGTGTTAATAAATATTTCTTTGAATCCATCATGTTTATGCTCATAGTAAATACTCAGTAAATGCTTTCTGATGAAATGAATGCAATCCATTAAATATACTTGGAATCAGGAGATGGAAGTGACTACAAGTGGTGGACTCTTGGTTGGAAATGGAAGAACCCTAAAGAGCTATTCCCTTGAGCATAAGTATCCCCGCCTCCCCTTTTGTTTGGTTTGTTAGTAGTTAGTTCCCTAGTTATGTATGTTGTGGTGGGAGGAGGGCTGCCTGCCCCCCTCCCACCACCTCCCCCTCCCCCAGCCCCCAGTGTCACTCAATGGGAGGTTCAACTTCCTGTTTTTTAAGTCTAAGAAGTACAGTTCTAGATCCTTGAACCCTGAAAGCACGGAGAATTAGAAAGGAGACCCTGGTACCAGACAAATTCATTTTATGATCTCTCAGCATCTACTCCTTGTGAGGAGGGTTAGCAAGATAGTAGCATTTGGACGAGTGTTATTTTGTTGAATTAGTAGGAGAGGCATCATGTATAGGAAATTATTTAGATAAAATGTTAATATACTGATTTATTTTTATTAGTGCAGATGTATTTATCCTCACAGCATTTGTGGTCTTTGGAAATGTATTCTTCAGTACCACAGAGTCATGAAGAAACCAGAAGAAAATCCCTCGGAGCCCACCCTCAATCGCAGGCCTCTTCAGGATGCCTAAGGCCAAGCTTGCGAGACTCCACTCATCAGAACAGGTCGGTCTAGCCTCGTGCAGGCTTTAACTGAGGAGCCTGATGGATCAGACAAGTAGGTCTAACTTGGCTGCTACAGGAGCAAAGGTGCTATACTTATTAGAAAGGCTACAAATTCAGTAAAATTGTTAGAAATGCTGCATTACTGAAGGAAGTCCAGCTGTCCTGGAGGAAACAGATTTACCAGGGAGGCGTCAGGAGGCCCAGTATAAGTGGAATCTAAAGAAAAGCCATACTCTCAACCACTTGCAAACACAGCCATACATTCACAATCTCACTTAACACACAAACACGTTCACATACACACTGACACAAACAGCTTCACCCTACTAGACTCTTCTCTACCCTACACTCGCAAACACACACATATGCCTCACATACGCGTTCTCAGTCAAAAGAGTGGCCTCGGGGAGACCTCGAGGCTGAATCAAATGCTGGTTAATGCTGCTGCTTTTATTACACCAAAGGTCTTATTTATTGGAAGATGAACACAAACTTGGCATACTGCTGTTACAGTGGCATGCATTCTCTACAGTGTGGCTTCAGAGCTCAAGATCACTGCAGCACGCACACAAGAACTGCTCCCGAGAGGAGGGAAAGAGGGAAACTGCAGAGCCTTGTTTTCTCCGGTATCAGCAGACTAAAGGTACTTCACCACGACAGCAGTTGAGGAAGCTCATGTGCTGGGCAGGTGTGTTTTAAACAGCTAAACAGGTGTGACAGGGGATCTAGCTGTGGGTAAGTTCCTAACACTTGGAGCCAAGAGTACTTCCGGGTAAGTATATGCTCCCTAAACAGGCAGCACTGACTAAGGGTGTGAGGGAGGGCGGCATGCTTAGGACTGCAGCTGAGATAGGTTAAGCTACCAGGAGTCCTCAATGAGGGGAATCCTGGCTTCACAAGGAAGAATAAGACATGATGGCTCTGTCACAATAAGGCCACTAAACTCACAGCAAACGAAGACCTCAGAGGAAGCTCTCATGACTACAGGAAAGCAGCTCTATCCTCTCTGATGTCAGGTGCCCCTTGCTGGTTGGGCCCATGCCCTGAGACCTTCACATGGTCCTTTCTGAGCTGCAAAACATCACTTAGCACAACGGAGCAGAGGAAGGGGCCACACACGTCAAGGTCATGGGGCATCACCACTAAGCGTGGCTGTCTGTTGCTGGCAAGTGTCTCAGATCCCTTTCCTGGTTGGGCCGGGTGCCCTGGTGTATCTGGAGAGCTAATCTGAAAAGAGGCTGGCAAAGGACTTCCTCAAGCTCCGGATGGTCTCCGCTTTGGCTTCATCCTCATTGGCTGAAGACCGGAAGAAGGAGGACTCAGAGAAGCTGAAGGCATTTGTCAGGGACTGCGACTTGCTTCAAGATAAAAACCAGAGAGAACATGAGAGGGTGGTGTTCCCAGTGAGGCAGGGAAGGACGGTGACATGAGAATACACAATCAGAATCCCCACTCCCACCCCAGGGAGACCAAGGTGACAGAGGAGAAAGCCAGCAGTGATGTCCTACCAAGACCTTGGGAGGCCCCTGTGCTATCTTTCCTCACCTTCAGTGCTGCTAAAAGAAGAAAGGATGGGGGCAGCGTGGGAGAGAGGGACAAAGGAAAAAAGAGAGAAGAGAAAGAGGGAGAAGGGAAAGAGGAAGAATGGGTGACTCAAAGGCTGTTTCTTTTATTTCATACTAAAGGGCCAGCAGGCTAAAGTTCAGAGGGCCCAACTTGGTAAGTACTAATCTAGGAATTTCACACTGTTCTCCTTTGATGAAATGTAGCAACCAGGGGCCCATGGGCTCTTGTACTCTCCTTTCCATCAACTGTCAAGTGGTGAAGCCAGCATCAGAAGACCTGGGTCAGTCTTGGTTCTGCCACTCACTCACTTTGACCTTTGGCAAGCCATGTGCCTCTCTGGGAATCAGTTTCTCACTGGTGATATGTAGATGTTTAGTAAAATGATCTCTAAGCCTTTTCAGTTCTTTCTATTCTCCTTTGTTTCCTGATTCCAAAGGAACCTTTTAGCTTGGCACAAGCTCTAGGGCTTCAATTTACCTGTTCTTAAAATGGGCACAATCACCATTGCCGTCTTCCTCAGAGGAGCCCTAATATGTCTGTGGTGTTCAGGATGTCCATGGGCAACAGAGATACCTATCAGGCCTACACAAGGTTATTAGGCAGTTTTCTAATCAAACAACCCAAATCACACACATTTTAGGGATCAATTTTTCCCATGAGAGACTAGTGATTCAGAGAGAAAAACTGTGAAGGCAAGAAGGTCAAGGGGAGGCCAAGCCCAGCACTCTAGAAGAGGACAGGAGGTCTGGCATCTCCAGTGGCCTGTCTTGTCTCCTTCTTGACTTCCACACTGTGTCTCTTTCCTGCTGGTTTCTGGCTCGAGACGCTTCTCCTGGTGTCTTAGAACTCCCAATCCTCCCTGAAAATCGGGGTGCAGCCCTGGAAACTCCTTTCTATAGGAACGTGAGTGGTTTCTCTCCTCCTGCAGTGACTGTGAACAGATGCCTTGCCTTTCATTAGGGCTGGGGATGAGACCCAACACGCTGGCCTCTGGGTTGGGGGGACTCCTCTGCATGTGCAGGCCAAGGGCATCAGGTACAAGCCTCCAGCTTGTCGTCAGGGGCTGGCTCTATTCAACAACTTCATCCCAGAGCAGTGACAACCCAAAGATCTGCCCTGAAACTGGGGTGAGAGTTGGCTAATGAGACGGTAGGAGAGATTAAAAAGTCAGCATGCAGAAAACTGGGCTAAGTGGAGTTCATGGGCCAGGCGAGATGTGAAATGTGCCACTGACCAGAGCTGGGGAGCAGGAGTGTGTGATGCCTCTCTTATGACCCAGGACTGGAGACCTAGGGAAAGTGATCATCTGGACCACCTGAACCTTAATCCTGGCTCTGCCACTAACTGGCAGAGTGGCTTTGAAAAAGAAAATTAATCGAATCTCTTTAAACAATGTTTTATCATCTATACAATGACTAGATCATCTCTAAGGGCTCATTTAAGCTCCAAAATTCTACAGCCCCCTTTTCTTCCTCCCTGAAGATTCTCATCACATTACTCTGAGAAGCCCTGATGGGTCACTCCCATTCCCCCAAGGCTACAGCTGTCTTTGCTGACAGGGATGACAGAGGTCTGTCTGGGGACACTGAAGGCAATCAGAGGCACTCTGTTTCTGGGGGAGAGGGTGGAACTGACCACCATCCATACCAGGTGCTGTCCCCCCCAAGTACAGCAACACTGTTTTCTAGGGGCCCTCAGTTCTTTCCTCTGAAGCAGGATAGTGTCATGGGGGCTTCCAGAGTTACTGCTGGGAACGAGGGAACCCAAGAAGATGGAGTTCCTCAGCATCTGTATCTTGCCACTCCTCTGACGCCCACACCAGAAATGGACCTCCTTCTGACAAAGCTGAAGGTAAAAATGTTGAAATGGATTTAACTGCTTCCCCCTTTTCCTTCTGGGTAGGCTTGCTGATTGCACACTCTAAACCCTGAGTCAGAGGCAGGAAGAGGATTTAAAAAATAAAATTTTTTTAGAGAGAGAGACACACACAGAGAAAAGGAATGGAAAAAAGAGTAGGAGACAGGATTAAAAAAACAACCTTAAGCTAGTACAAGAATAGGAGAAGGGGTAGTAACTCCGCCTTACCGCCACTCCCCAGGAAGAAAGGGGAGGGTTTGAGCTTCTAGCTAGACCTTAGACTTTCACTTCCCTCTTTCCTACCCTCTCCAATCAACCCCAACCATGCCCCCAACCAAAAAAAACCCACCAAAAATCAACCCTCCCCCAGAAAAACCCCACAAAAATATCTGTAGGAGGCGGCCAGATTGAAGGTGCTTTCTAGCAGCTCTGGAACTAAGGCCTGCGAGGAGGGGCAGGAAGAGGGGGGGAAGGAGCTGCTGAGTTGTCTCTTACTTGAGCTGTGGGTGAGGCTGGGGCTTCTGTGGTGGAGCAGCCGGGGGTGGCTGGGCCTCTGCCAGGGAGCTGCTGCTGGAGGGTGCATCTCCGTGGGTGGTGGGGCCGCCCGGCCGCTCAGGAGCCGAGGAGGAGGAGGAAGAAGAGGAGGAGGAAGAGGAGGAAGGTGGCAGTGATGGTCCAGGGGGGAGCCGGCGTGGAGGCAGCACCTTGCCTGGGGGTTGCACTCCTTGGGGTTGCCCAGGGCCCCCTAGGTTCAGTACAAGAAAAACTTCATAATTTAACCATATCAAAGGGTTTCCTTATTAGAATCTACATCTCAAAGGGTGTGGTTAGTTAATTACTGAAATGATAAGCTCTATCACAAGCCACCGGAGGCTCTGAAGGGCTCCAGAGCAAGTCCTTGGTTACCCTCATACAATGCCACTACTTGTTCCTCCTCAGAGACACAGCACCTCAGTCACAGCAGAAGTTAGGAGGACAGGAAAGAAAATATGGGATGAGTGGCTGTGATCATAGGCGAGCTCTCTTACAGAAGGCCCCCCAGACTAGAGGGACCTCCTCCCTCTTCCCCAGAGGTTCCTCAGGTACAGACCAATCTGCCCCATGGTTTACTAGGAAGTCTCAAGTTCCACACAACAGATGCAGTGCTGGGTGGTGGAAAGAGCACCGGTCTGGGAATCAGAAAACCCAAGACGTAGTCTATCAGTGACTCCCTGAGCAAGTAAGCAAACTTTTCCAGGCCTTGGTCTTTCCAACTATAAAACTGTTAAAAAGTAAGTCCTAATCTTGTTATCTTTCAAGACAGTAGTATTTCAAAGAGGATAATGGATGAGAAAGTTACTCAAAAAGTATTCTGTGCTTTATGATCACTGATCATCACTGACTTAGACAGTTTTTATGGAGCTGGCCTTCATCCTGCTCCCAGCCTGCAGTGTCTGATTGCCAAACCCCAGGCCCCACCAGGGCTTCATTTTAGCATTAACTTAAGCCCATGACCAGGATGAATCTTTTGTTTCCAGGTACTCTTTTACCTCTGAGTATCATCCTCAGGGGCTTCAGTCCCTCTCAGGTGTGTGTGGTGAAATTCTCCAGAAATCTAAGCCCCATTCTCCCCTGGGGGTGTTGTGGGCACCATCTGGCAAACAGCCCCCTAAAAAGGACCAGGATACCCCTCTCCCAGCATAAGACAGAAAACCATCTGGTGGCCTGAAGGGAAAAAAGGCCATTCTTCCTCTGGTGGTTGATAGGCAGTAAGTGAGGTACCAGATTGCTCAGATTTTGCTGAGGGGGTTTCCTACACTCAGAAGTCAAAAAATGAGCCCATCAGCACATACTGACTAGTGGAAGTGAGGCATAATTGGCTTGGGAGATCCAATTTCTCAGTCTCAATCCCAGAGTCCACATCCATGGGCCTGCTGGAAGGAATGGGCTTATAGAAACTCAAGAGCAGTTAAGAGTTGTGTTGTAATTTAGTTATCTAAAAACACTAAAACATCTGTATCCTCTGGAGAGGCAGAATTGTAGTACGTACCACTGTGCCTCCATGACAGTCAGCCCATTTCCTCATTACATGGCAGGGGCTCCACTTTATCATCAATTACCAATTAATACCAGGGTTAGTTACCCATAAATAAATACATAAATGAATAAATAAGTGGAATTTTGCACGTTTAAGAAGTTCCAAGTTCAAATCAGATAACTAGTGAAGACAATAGATTAGCAGATTATTTCATGTTAACCAGTTTTTGCCTTTTCCAAAGTTTGGCATCATTTATATTAGCATTTTCTTGTAAAGTACTGCAGGTTGATAGCTCAGCCTCTTGGACCAGAAACCTGAGTGCTTTCCCACCTGTACAGAGATGCTTGAATAGCCAGAAACTTTACAACTTAACACTGAAGACAGATATAACTTTTCCTTTATTGCACATTAAGCTGTACAAGAGAGTCACAAAAGAGAGGTACTTCAATCACACTTCCAGCATTGGCTGAGGTTCTCCCAGCTGGATTGGTACAAAAAAAGGGGACAACATCAGAAAAGAAATGGGTACAAAACACCTAAATGGCAATCCTATACTGTGACACAGATGTCCCTCAGGCCACAGAGTTGTCCCTTAGCATGCTGCCTGAGGGCACATGACAGTCAGGTTACACTGTCTGCTTGCATTTGGCAGTGGGAGCCCTAATCAGTTTCTCTCCCACCTGAGAGACCTTGGCTGACACCATCCTGGAGCCTGACTGAATTCAAATGGCATCTTTGTTTTTGTGGCTCACAAATGTCACATGAAAAGCACCTGGATATTCACACTGATAACATGCAGAGAAGCAACACCACCATCAGCTCACCACTTGGACAAAAAAATTTTAAAAATAAATAAATAAAATGTATTCCTCCATTCTGGGAAATGTTGCTTTATTCCTTTCTATCATTTCATCAGATTGGGAGGTATTTAAGGACTTGATTCTTATGAAACCCATCTGGAAGTGCGTAAATGCATATATGTATATATTTACAACAGATTAACTACCATCATCCTCTAAGGGAGGGATTACAGACGAGAACATTCATACTCAATGCATTTCCCTGTAGCCTCAGACTTTGCCAGCAACCAACGGAGAAACCAGGACATGTAACCCTTGACATACATATCACATAACATACTACCAATACTTTATTCCTCAGACCTGGTAATCCAGAACAGTGACATGGAAGTATAGAAGTGAGAAGGAATGTAAAAGTAGAGCTAGAAGCATTTCTTCTAAAAGGCAAACTGCTGGCATGAACTCCCATGGACCACGGTGCTAGAGGAGGCCACTTGGTGCCCATTCCCAGCCTGGCCAGGAGATGGCAAGATGAGGCACCGGACCTGAGGCCTGGTTTAATTAACTGCCTCATCACCTGCCCAGAGCTGCTTGTCGGAGGAAAGAGGACAAACTGGTGAAGGTTCTTCAAGAGCCATGGCTGTGGAGCCTCTGCCCACAACTCACACAAGCTAAAATCTGAGACTCTTCCTCTCAGGAAAGATAAAGCTCTTCATTCTCAGGCTCTGGAGGGTCTAGTGACAGCTGAGAACTAAAACAGGAGTTCACCTCAGGGTTCTGTAGGCAGTGTACTCACTCAAGTGAAATGGGACATTTCTCATTTGGTCTCATGTTATGATGCCTCAGGAGAGGCCAAGAGCAGAATGGTCGACTCCTTCCCAGACTTTCAGTAGCTCCCTGCATTCTATGACCAAAATTGCTACAGAATCATCTCCGTACATAGGTCAAGCTTTGGGGAATACGAAGCAGCCTCAGTTCCACAGAAGCACACAGATGGCCAATTCAGAAACAGCAACGAAGGAGAAACAACTCAGGGGGACAGATCAGCACACAGGAAACACTCACAAGTTCACTTTGATATTGCACATCAGCGGCCCCATTATTTTGTCTAATCTCATAGCTAATTAGTTAATAATAAAAACAAGGGTGCACCGAGATGTAAAATACAGAACACATTCCTGGAAATAGATTGTTCTTTATATTTCATGTCATCACTAAAGACACAAGAGCTCTACAGGCACAGCCAGCCTATTCACATAAACTCAAACTGTACCAAATTTTAGCAAATGGAGAAAAAAGTGGATGCCTTCAGATTCAATGGATGAAGCTATGGAAATTAGACCTTGAAAATCTCTTAAACTTCTATCTATTTACCCTAGTCATGCAGAAAGGAAGCAGAAAGCACAGTTCATTGAAGATCCCAAGCACACTCATGGAGGTAAGCAGGGGGTGGGGGGCGGTTCAATCTGAGGAGGAGGAAGACAGGAGTTGGGTTGTGGTCTTTGTTTCTCCCCTGTCCACCCCCACCCCAGTCCTATTTCACCCCATATTATGTAATACTTTAAAAAATACTATCAAACCACCCAGAAGATAGAGTCACACTGGACTTGGGAGAGGCACAATTCTTTTGTACACTATTGACAAACAGCCCTGGAATCACAAGTTATACAGAGAAACATAAGTGAGCATTACAAGCACGAACAGGAACAGGTACACAACCACACAGAGGAGCTGACACTGCATAGGAAAAACACAGTCCAGTCAGCACTGAAAGAATGCAGAAACGGCACCAATGGGAGGGTCTGTTGCTCCCCTCCCCACTTTCCTTTCTTTTCTTGTTTATTTTTGGCTTAAAATTTCCGCTTTGAAAAATTAACTACCAATCACTTTAAGAAGCTGGGACTTGTTTTGGCCCTACTGCAATGCCATTACAGTCGAGAATATACTGTAAACAACCTTGGGGGGCTGGCCGCTGAGGTGGGGTCTTGCTGGAGTCCGGATCCTTAAGTGTTCCACTCTGGAAGACAAAAATGCAAAAGAGATAAAAACAAAACTCGGAGCAGATTCCAAAGAGAAACCCTGTGCCTCTGTGGCATGGCTGTAGTGGGATTCGGTGGGATCCGGTGGGATCTGGCCCAGAGGCTTCTACTATTCCCAGAAATGCCTCAAAGGGATTCTCAGCCTCTGGGGTGTTGCTAGGGCACAGGTGTAGGAAGCCTGGGGCTTAGAACCACTACCCTGATAGGCAGTGTCTCAGACCTCCTCAACCCCTTTTTTCATTTCACTCTCTTTTAGACTTACTCTTTCTAGAAGTTTTGAGTCTTCTAACAGCATCTGGTTTCTTCTCTGGGGGCCTGATGTCCAGCTCCCCCTTGTACTCACAGGCCTGGCTTCCTGAAGGAAGGATAAACACTAAACCCCAGAGAGCTGATTGGGCGTTAGGTGACTCCAGGGACCATAAAGCCAGGGCGGCTGGACCAGGTGACTAGCCTAGACTTGGCTCACTTCTTGTGTGGAGGTAACTCTGAGGCTGACTCAAGGGTCAGATCCACTCTGGGCTGGGCGGGAACTCCCACAGGCAGGAACTTGAAGGAGGGGCAGTCGTTTGTTTCCCAGAATCCTCCTTACCCACAGGGAAGGAGTAAGATGTTAATGTTTGTAAAAGCACTCAAGGCCAAGCTGTTCTCCCCTCTCAAAGGGCATAATTACATTTTGCCCAACAACATGGCTCCACTCCCATGCTGCTTCTCCTCCCAGCTGTGATTCTGGTTATGCCCTGACAGGATCAAAGATCATGTGACTTCAGTTTGTCTAACATTTGTATTAAAGGCAGTGAGCATTTGGAGCTTGAATTCAGCACAGGGGAAATGCTCTATAAAGCCTAAGAGCTGCCAAGTGTGCCGATGGTGATGTCAAAGAGGGAGCTTCTGAAGGCAGGCTTCGAAATGGGCTAAGTACGTCTTCAGCCTTCTCCCACTTCCTCTTTTAGTGCTCCTCTTCCCTTGTGACATGCCCCGCAGCCCTACTCCCACAATAAAACTGTTTCTCCTCCTGTTCCCCATTTCCCATGGGCCTCTGATTCTGGTCATCTGTCTCCTTTCCTGCCTCCTAAGGCTTGTTTTCAGCTCCACTACCAGGACAGCAGAAGTGTTACCCTTTCCAGGATCATGGCCTTTTATAATGCAGAGCCTAAAAGTGTTCTAAGAGGGTTTCAGATAATAGGAGGCAGGGGGCCTCTGAAATGTCCTTAGTGCCACTACATCAGAGGTTGCCCATTCAATCTATAATCCCCAACCTCTCACAGATCACAGCAAGAACACCAACACTTCCTTTCCCCTTCTTCCAAGCACTCTCATGGGATACATGAGGCTTGGTCTGAGCCCTGGCACTGAAATATCCACACCCAATAAGGCAGCTAGAGGCCTTGCCATCCAGTCAGCCATCAAGACCTATCAGTTTTTCCCTCTTGGCATCTAAGATTCACCATCTTCTCTTGACCAACTCTGGTCAGGCCTATATCATTTCTTGCTTAGACTACTAGAATAGTCTCCCAGTTCTTTTTTTTTTCTTATTTTTTATTGAAGTATAGTTGCCATACAATGTAATGTTAGTTTCAGGTTAGAATCGTCCGACAATTCTTTAGTTTCTTCTCTTTCTAATCAATCTTCTCCATGGCTACCTATTATCCTCCTAAACTCCTTCCCTAATTGCTCTAAATAATTTATAACTAACACTATATGTGCCAGATAACACGATGGACACTTTTACGTAGTATTTCCCTTAAACTTCACAACAGCTCTATGAGGTAGATACTATTGTCAACATCTCTAATTTTTAGATAAGGAAACTAAGGCCCAACTAAGTCTGGTGATTTGCCCAAGGTCACATGGCAGCAGCTAACGCAGCTGGGATGTGAGCCCAGGTAGTATGATGCTCACCTTCTCTTCCTGTTGCCTACAGGATGACATCCACATTCTTCAGGCTGACATCAGAGACTTGCTTCAGCATGGCTGGGAATTGACCCTTCTAGCCTTCTCTCCCCCTCATGTCCTATACACATCTGCTCCTTCCAGGCCTGACTCCTCACTGTTTCTTCTCTAGTCTAGGCCACTCCATTGTTTATGCTGAGTACCCTCCAGGAACACCTTCTCTCCTTTTTTACCAATCCAATCCAACACATCCTGGAGAGCAAGATCAAGTTCTAACCTATCCATGAAATCTCCTCTTCTGAGTGCTCCTTTTGATTGTGATCTCCTCTCTGAAATCATATAATAGCACTTAGCAGACTCATACTATTGAAGGGGAGCATTTGCAGCACTGTCTTGTTATCCCGAAGACTAGGATGACGCCTCTAAGAAGACTGCCAGATCCTTGAGGGCATGAACTATGTGTCTTCATCTTCTCATGAATTCCTAACAAATACAGTGCCCATTTTTTTCAAAGAAAAATTGGGATATATGGCCTGGTATAGGAACTATTTATTAAAAAGTTAAAATAGAATGAAGAATATTTTGGAAAATTCAAGACTTGTCATTTTACTAATATCATCAAGCACAGGGCTGAGCACCTAAGAGGTCCTTAATAAATGCTTGTTAAATAAATGAACATGCAACAACAATGAAAACTCAAAATGGAGTAGAGTATAAGTCTTTTGAGAGAAAAATGTCGTTAAACCATAGATGTTAAACCATGTTGTATTTGGTATCAACTCTGGTGAGCAGCACATGCCTGTATATCAGATGGAGAAGGTAAAGTCAAAATAAGCCTCAAAGAAGCCAAAATTGCTTCCATCAAGAATGACTAATCCCACCAAGTTAGGGGTACTGCCGGCTCAAGGGTTCTTTCCCATTGTCATTTTGTTCTTTCTCTTGATCTGACTGCCAACTGGAAAAGAAGTCTGAGGCCAGGATATAGCGTTTAGTAATGGGCACACAGGACACACAGGGTGTCAGTTTGTAATGCTGCAGACAAACATTTGATGCAGCCGGAGGTACATCAGTGTCTCAACAAGAGGCAGTCATAGGTCCATTGCTCTTTTGGCTGATAAGCCTCAGGAGAGAGCACTGTGACCAGTTCTGGGCACCTCTTTTTTTCTTTCTTTTTTTTTTTTTTTTGAGGAAGATTAGCCCTGAGCTAACTGCTGCCAATTCTACTTGAGTTCCTGACATGCTCAGACTGGGCTGGGCATTAACTCCAGCCCCCAACACACACGCATGCATGCAAACACACACACACAGCAACTTAGGTCTCCAATAGTGTCTTTAAGATTGGGCAGCAGAGTGACTGAGGAATCTGGGCTTTTGTGTTAGGAAGACTTCGGGTTAAATCTAAATCTGCCACTTACTAACTCTGTGACCTTGGGCAAGTTATTCACCCCTCTGCACCTGCCTTTCTTCAAAAGTTTTCCATGATATAAAGTAAGATTACCTATCTATCAATCAATCAATCAATCAAGTGGCTCCAGTAGGTGCTAAATAAGATACACCAGATGATGGTAATGGTGATATTCATAAGACCTTTTCCTAGGTCTCACTCCCCTGATAGAATGCGCCCTGCAATGTGCTCCCATTCCTGGGCTTCAGAGACCTTCATTCACTTGTGATGGCACAGCCTCCTCCGGGTTCCCTGACAAGCCATCAGTGTCATGGCCTCACAGCCTGAGAGGGACACTCAGAGGAAATTCATGTAGTTTGTGGAGCCAGGCTCTTGCCAGCCCCCTCCCCCAGGGCCTCACCCTATACCACTGACAGCTGCCAATGAATCACCTCAGACCCTGGTCTAAAACTAATGGCCAAGATGTCCTCCTCCCAGAAAATTGTTATTTTCAGAGACGGTTATAGAAGACCATAGAGCATAAGGGCTGAACCGGGGCCAATGGGCAAAAGCTCCAGAAAGGTAGACTTTCACTTATAGGAAAAACTTTCTATAGTACAAACAGTGGAAGAGGCTGTCTTGGGAGGTGAGTGTGTTCACGCAGAGGCTAGAGAATTACCTAACAAAGATACTATAGAGAATATTCTTTCACTAAACATGAGATAGATTAGATGAACACTCCAATTCCTTCCAACCCTGAGAATTTATGATTCCAGGAACAATTTTAAAAATCCCACAGATTAAGCTCTAACGATAGAACTCTAATGCAACATTCACAGCAGGAGCTGAGGGGTAATTATACCATGAAGGTTGGCCCTGGCTCTCCTCAGCCTCAGAAATATCCACGAGACACCCAAAGATGAACTGAGCCCAACGGTTCCCTTCCAAAAGCTTCAGGGGAAAGCTCTCAGAGGCAGCTGTTTAGGCTGGAGCCTGGGAACGTGCTTTGGCCACCCTTGTCTGGCGCCTAGAGAGCTTCTCCTGTCCTCGACTCCACCAAGGTTGTGGACTGAAGAATTCCCAGGGGCTAGGGGAGGCGGGAGGAGAGTCCCCTAGGACTGTCCCTTGCCAGGCTGAGACTCTCTGGCTCTGCCCACAAGTCTTCCGTCTGCTGGGGCTAAAGGCCTATTCCCTGTGGGGTCTGGCTATCATGGGATCTGTCTCCAGTCACCAAGAACCGCCTGGGATGCCGAATTCCACAGAAGTCTGGCCACTCTGGCGTCACTGCCAAAGTCTGGCCTGCAGCCAGCCCGCAGCAGGAACTCATGGCCAGACTGAGTTACAGAGTTTCCCTCAGAAAGCTAGGTTGACTCAAACAGGTAAGAATGTGCAGTCTAATGCTTGTGCCCAATTGCAAACAAAAAAGAAAGAGAATACACTGCCTTACAGCAGCACAAGAAAAATACCCCAAACAACTCTGGGCTTATAGAATGATAGCAAGCTCAGAGGGTGTCAGTTTGTAATGCTGCAGAGAAACATTTGATGCAGCCGGAGGTACATCAGTGTCTCAACAAGAGGCAGTCATAGGTCCACTGCTCTTTTGGCTGATAAGCCTCAGGAGAGAGCACTGTGACCAGTTCTGGGCACCTCTTTTTATCTTTCTTTTTTTTTTTTGAGGAAGATTAGCCCTGAGCTAACTGCTGC